CAGAGAATAAGATGACTTAAAAATATAGTCACCCTGAGATTTAGAAACGCCGTGTTTCCTTTTTTCCCCACATAGAGCACATGTTGAGGGAAGACCCGGTCTCCTGGGAATTGGGGGGTTGCAGGGCTTTGCAATTCAGCCGCTGCTCAGGCAGGGCCTGGTGGGGGAGGGCCGTGAAGAGCACATATTGTCATCATCACTTTGTTTTTAAAACCCCAATCAAGGCCCTTCAGTGTCCAACACTGCCAGCGGAGTGTTCAGAATGTCCCAGAGATTAGGAAGGCGGCCTGGTGAAGAGTTTTTTCCAGGATGCTAATTACTAGTGCATGTGACACTTGGAACTCTGATTAGGCGCTCCGCCAAGCATGAGACTCTGAGGGGAAGACTCACTCCGGCCCTGGAGCTGTCCCCACCCTGTGGCTTGAGCAGAAGATGAATGTGACCCACGCAGGTTCAGAAACGGAAATGCCGGTCTGAGAGGCAGACAGAAAGAGACCCCACCTCGTACATGCTGGCATGTAGCTGGTTCATTTGTTCACTTATTCCTTTGTGAAGCAAATGTCTATTGAAGGCCTGCTACCTGCTGGCCACTGTTTAGGCCCCTGAGGATGGAGCGGGGAGCAACCGTGGTGGCGCCTCCTGTCCCTGGGTGCTGTTTTAGTTGGAATGATAGGACACACAAGCAACATGTAGAGTCTATTAGATATTGCTATGGGCTCTGATGGAAAATAAGCCAAGGCAGTGACTGGGGAGTGTTGGGAGAGTGTGCGGGTTCAGTTTTAGATGGGATGGTCAGAGACAGCCACGTCGAGAAGTGGACCTCTGAGTAAAGACCAAAAGGAAGAAAGCTAGTGAGCCACAAAGATCTCTGAGGAAAGAGCACCCAGAACGAGAGCACAGGTGTGCAGACCTCGAGGTAGGACGTGCCTGGCATGTTCAAGGAACAGCAAAGACGCAGCTGTAGCTAGACAGGGAATGGGGGTGGTGAGGTGGGAGACAGATTGTGCAGAGCTATGGAAGGTTGTTAGCGTTCCATGGATGAAGTAGAATTCTTCTGAGCAGAGGCATGACATGATCGGCCCTGGATTTGTAAAGGATGACTTTGGAGGAAGCAGGGAGCTCCATCAGCAATTGTGGTCATCCAGGTGGGAGATGGCGGTGGCCCACATGGGGGTGCTTAGCAGTGGACGAGGTGGGAAACCATCAGTCTGGATATTATTTGAAGGTGGAGCTGATACCATTGATTGTTGAACTAGATGTTGGGTGTGGGAGAGAGGCGTCAAGGCTGACTCCAGGATTTCGGGCTTTTGCATGAGTCAGGGTTCAATACGCCTGTACTGAGTACAGGCTCAGCTTCAAGTTTGCTACCATCCAGGGACGTACACAGACATAGAAATGTGAGTGAATCTGGGAGCAAATGCATGGTGAGTGGGGAAAGCAAGGGTCTGTGTCCCAGACGAAGGACACCTTGCTCGGCTGTCCTCTGGCTCAGAACCCAGTTCCTTCCTTGCAGCCGCCCTCTGCCTCCATCTACCCCTTGTCACTGCCTCTCTTCCCGAGTGTTTGTCCACCCGCTGACCAAGGGCTCTGTTTCCGGCCCGTGGACTTTCCTGCCCGCCTCGCCTCCTGACCCTTGGCCGTGTGCTCCTCCTTGTTGTCCCGCCGGAATGGTCATGTGTCAGGCCCAGGGGCACCCCAGTGGGCCCACAGCTGGTCTCCTCCTTCCCAGGGAGTTCCAGTTTTCCCTCCTGCACAGAGATCAAACATCTGCGACCAACCCCAAAGTCAGTAGTGGTAAAAGCTTAGATGTGCTCTGGCCTGGAATAACATCTTTGGAAGGCAACTGGAAAGTTCTACCATGTTTCAAGGTCTTATGAGCTGAACTGTAGGCTGAGCTTGAAGTGGAGGCCATGGCCTGGGCAACTGAGACTTTGAGATTCTCCCCCTCCATCCCCTACCCCCCATCTTAGGTGCTGCCCAGGAATCCTCCCTCTGCCTCTCCAGTCCAAAGCCCTGAGCTAACTCTCCAAAGTTGGCCAACCTGGGAGCTTTGACACCACATTTGAACGTTCTCTCCCACGGCTGTGCCCAGCACCATACAGCCCAGGCATTTTCACCTCTGAGTGCCCATTCCCTCCCTCCTAGCCTGGCCTGTCATCTTGCTCACATTTCAAGGGTAATTTCATCCATCTGGCCCTGATCCGTGTACCCAGAGTGTGCTTGATGGAGACTTGGTTGCCAAGATTTCCCCTGGAACTGGTTCCTAGCAGACCCCCTGGGGGCCCCAAACCAAAGGGCCCTCTGCATTTTCTGGGTGAGAGGCTTCCGGCCCACCTGTACACACAGTGGCTTCAAAGAGAAGTCGGGGAGTTCTCTAATTGCTGGAGACACTGCAGCCGCAAAAGGTCCCCAGTCAGAGAGCAGGACACAGGGCTGTATATGAGCCTGTGAGTCCCAGTGGACCACAGCAGGCACCAGGACACCAAGGGGGCCGGGCTGGGAAAGCTTGCGGGACTGATTCCACCTTATTTAAGCTTCATTCTTGGTGTGATGTCCCTTCTCATGGCCCTCGCTGCCGCTCTTCAGCACGCGGACCTTTGTACGGGTCCCTGGGGCTGGGGATCTGCGTAGAGGTAGAAACTGGAGTAAGCCATTGAGGGTGGGCAAGGAGAGACCCAGCACTGTGGGCTCTACCCAGCCTCCAGGAGCTTGCCTGTTGCCAGAGAAGCCGCGGTCAGTCCCTGCAGGGGTGGGTACCTGTTGCTCACAGTAGAAGTTTCCTTGCTCTGCCCTTATAGAAGAGACACCATTGTCTTGTTCATAGATCCATCTGCTTTAAACTCTTTGAAAGAACCTGAAAAGTCATAATGCATTTTTAAAAACCAGTGGGATTCAGTGAAAAGAAGCTCTTCCAAATGTGGTGAGAAGCCCTGTGTTGCTGAATGGATGTTTACATCTTGTGGTGTGAGCAAGACATTTGATCATGAATGTTCAAACCGCTTCCTTGGCTGGTGGGCACCTAAATTTTCTGCCAACCAGGGCACTGCATGTAATCCTTTGACCCTACTTTGTGTTTGACCCCAGAATCCCCCTCTTCCCTGTTGGGCTCTCCCAGCAGCCTGAACTTCCCACATTTCCCTCCTGGGAGGTTCCAGCTCAACTCACTGGATCGCTGGGATTCGGAGGGCACATGGGTGGGAACCAGCCAAGGTCCTGGGCTGTGGGTGGGATGAGGGGCTTGAAGTCTGCTTCCACTGTCACTCGGCTCCAGGGCTGGCACACAGTAGGTGTTCAGAATACTTATTCAAATTGGTGGAATGAACTGCAAAAGCCCAGTTAGGAAATAGAAAGTCTCCCCCTGCCCACCTGGTTCCCAAGGCACCCTCTGCACTAAGTTAGGTAATGCTCGCTTATCTCAAAGATGCCTCTTCAGGACGCTGAGTAATGTAGGAAGGAGACAGAAGGCGGGAGCAGAAGAAGGTGCGGGTGGAGCAGAGGGAGGAGAGCCCAGGGCCATTCGCGTGATCACGTGAGAGATGAGCACAATGCCTGGGACGGAAGAAGGGCTACAAGAGGGCTTGTTAAATAAATCAAATATTGAGTAAGACGGAAGTGGATTTAAGCGTGAGCTCCACTTCTTACCTGCTGTGGACCTGCTGGTACATTGTTTAATCTTTCTGCACCTTGAGTTTGGCCTGTATACCATAGGACTAGTAATCAAGGTTCTTCTTACCCCAAAAGTTAGGTGTAGAGCTCAACAGGAGCTAAGAAACATTTGTGAACTCTTAGGTGCTGTGCCTGTGGAGGGACGACAGATGTATTGTCCTCTTGATTATTGTCGATATAAACATATGGTTGGCCCACTAAGCTGCGGACCTCACTGTTTTCTAGGCACCAGTTTTTTTCCTCTTCTATCACCTCTAATCTTTCTTCACCCCTGATCTCTTCTCTTCTGCATTCTCCCAAGAGCTAAGATTCTAACTATTCACTGATGCTTCCCCAAGCCCATCCATAGTCTCACTGTGGGAAGAGTGCTTTCATCATGGGGCAAGGCGGGAAGGAGAAGGTGGTGGCTGAATCGAATATCGGTCCCTCCTGCATGGAGAGAGATGTCATGGGCTGCCAGTGGGCAGTGATGTTGGTGTTTTGACACGCGTCAGGTGGTTTTCATTCCGGAAGGTGCATGTCCCTGCAGTAGCACATGTTTGGGTAAATCAGAACCAGCTTGAATCTGAATTCCTTCTTACAGCAGGCCATGACACTTCTCTTTTTGTGCCTCTTCCTGAGTTTACTGTCTGCCTGCTCACCAGGATGGAGCCTCCGAGCTGGAGTGAAGCTACCCTCATATTTCTTTTCTCAGGCACTGGGTCTTCGCAGAGGGCATGCTGGGGCGAAACAGGCCTTGTGTCAGTGGAGGAGAGAAGCAGCTCGCTCCCGTGGGTGCCGAGCACAGCATCGTCATTTCTGAGGCCTCAGCGCAGTAAGCATTTGGTAAGATGGAATTCTGCGTATCTAATTCTCTCCCTCCTCCTCCCCAGGACACTTCATAAATGGCTCCCACCACCTAGCGTTCCCAGAGATTTGTAATGAGGGCATTGGAGATACCAATGGGCGTGGAAACCAGCAGCAGAGAGGTTCGGGTTGGATTTGTGTCTACGCCTTATAGGGCCCGTGAGTGGCACGCGGAGCAAACGCTTGGGTCATTTTTGCTGAATATAGGACTCCAGACATGATCCAGTCCTGAATTTTTTAGCTGCAGGGTTATTTCTGGAAACCACTTTCTCAGGAGATGGTGACCTCCAGGTGACCCACAAAACGGCTCTTATCAGATGTGCCCATTTATCACACAAATGCTAATTGAGCCCCTGCTTTTTGTCATGCCCTGGGGCCACAGAGGTAACTGTGCCTTGGTTCTAATGTTCAGGATTTCTTCCTCAAGCAAGAGAGATTCTAGGGAGGTCATTTGGACATATGTGATTTTTTTTCTAGATGGAGTGAGGCCCAGGAATGTGGCAGGCCAGAAGAAATCAACTTCTCTGGGTACAGGGTGGTCCTGGGAGGGTTCCTGGAGGAGGCAGAGAAAGAACTCATATGTTTAAGATGAACTGGCATCAATAGGAAAAGGCAACAGCTTGGGTAGCAGCATGGGGAGTCAGCTATCCTGGTTTGCTGAGGAATGAGGCGTTTCCCAGGACATGAGACTTTTATACTGAAACGCTGACAGTTCTGAGCAAACTAGGATGGTTGGCCACCTTAGATAGTGAAAGAACGAGAACTTTTAGAACTGGAAAAACCTGGGTTTGAATCCCAGCTCTGCTACTTAAAAGCTGTGTGACCCTAGGTAAATTGTTTGACCACTCTGAACCCTAATTCCTTATCTGAAATAGGGGGACATAAATAGGACTCTCCCTAGCCTAGTGGTATCAGTAACAGGTGGCTTTTTAGATGGGGGGGGGGGGGGCGCGGGGAAGCAGCATTTTTAAATGCCAGAGACAAAGAATATGGTTGGAGCAGAATATAAAGAAGGGTATGGTAAGAAGTTGGCTGGAGAGAGAAGCAGGAGCCAGATTATAAAGGGTCTGAATAGCATCCTGAGGAATTTAGATTCTCCCCCCCCCCCTTAGGACAATGGTTAATCACTGAATTAATTTTAGAAGATGAGTAAGGGAATCAGACTCTTGCCTCAGAGAGGTTGTCCTGGAAGCAGAGAGAGGATAGATGAGGAATTGGATCAGGACGGGGCAGGGAGGGTAAGAATGATGTAGTGAAGTGATTGGGAACAAGGAGTTATATTCTGGGAAAAACAGAGCTCAGTTGAAACTTCCCGAGGAGGCCATTGGACAGCTCAGAGTCAGGCCGGGAGCCCCAGAGGTTAAAAGGGTTGGGAACCTCATCTCCTGAGGTCAGGTGCTGCCTGTGGGTTGTAGTTGAAAGCTGGGTAGGGCTGGAAGGTCACATGCCTTCCAAACAGATGGGACACCTGGGAAACTGTGTGCCTGAGCATGACCTGATGAGCAACTTGGGATATGTTTTTGGTCATCTGGCTAATCTGCGGGTTCTTCCTCTCTTCCCTCCGTTTTTCCCTGGCTCCTTCCTTCAAGGAGGCTTCTCTCCAGTGCTTTGACATCTCATTATCTCCATGGCAATGGAACAATGGTGTCCTAAACATATGACCTCACCCTGTGGTTATGCAAAAGAGTGCACGGGAAGGGAAGCTTTGGGGGTTTGATGGGTCTGGTTGGGGTATGAAACCCTCAGGACCAGATGCCTCTGAGGCAGGTCCCCAGGCCCTGGGAGGGGATGGACTAGCCCCCGCATTGAAGTGACTTAGACCAGACCACTGAGGGTTGTCTCAGCCTCAGTAACAATTTGGAATTGGGAAGAACTTCCATTAAAAAAAAATTTTTTTCAATTACAGTTGTCATACAGTATTATATTAATTTTGGGTATACAACATAGTGGTTAGACATTTATATAACTTGCAAAGTGATGGCCCCCAAAAGTTCAGTAGTTATTACAATAGTTATTACAATATTATTGACTATATTCCCTATGCTGTACTTTACATCCCGTGACTGTTTTTATATCTAGGAATTTGTACATCTTTCTGTAAATAACAACAATCAGAAGGAGTCATAAAAGAAAATTGATTGAATTGACTGACCTCATAGAAAAAATTTTTTTTGGTATGTAAATTTTTCAAATAAATGAAAAGACAAAGTACAGATTTAGGAAATTATTTGCAATAATTGTAATGTACAGAGTTATCATCTTTAATATGTAAGAAGATATAAGATTAAATTACAGTAACTAAGGAAAAAAAAAGCCTAATAGAAAATGTGACAAACAATATAACCAGAGAATTTATAGAGAAAAAAGTTTCATTCATTCATTCATTTATTCATTCATTCATCCTTTCAATAAATTTATTGAGCAATTACTATGTGGCAGGCACTATTCTAGGTACTGAAGATGCAGCAGTAAACAAAACAGACAAATATCCCTGGTCTTATGGAGTTTCTGCTTTCTGCTATTTTTCTCTATCTTATTCTAATTAGTTTTTTTTAACTTTAATCTAACTCTAGATAAAGTCTTAATTCATCTGAAGTTATTTTCTCATAAAATTGAATTGAGAATTTATTTTCCCCCTCAAAAGTAAACCACTTGCCCTAACCATTAATTATTATAATAATTAATCCTTCCTCTCCTCACTAATGTTCACTGCCACCTTTATCAAATAATATATTCATATATCATTATGTCTGAGTGATTTAGCTAACAGCTCTTATTGTTCTCTATACTGTTTTTTATCATTGTGGCTTTATGCCCCGTCAGATACCACAGACTTTACGTAATTAGAGGATTGCGACAAGGATAACTTGGACACCGTATTGGTTGCTTTCTCCATGAGATGGCACTCACAGTTTTGTTTAATTTCCTACCTTCATGAATCATTAGTGATTTTTGAACAGTTGCAGAACACGGAGAACTTGCGTCTCACAATTTCCAAAGCAGGTTTCAAGAATTATCATGTTTCATGTTCTTTTATGCTTCTAAAGCATATGCGCTTTTCTCTCTCTGGGACATTAGATGGTTCCCTGTGGACGTGGAGAGTGGGGACTAATGTCCCGTTTTCTCTAACACTGCCATCCTGAGGGTGTGCAGGCCTCTGAGAGCAAGTCCTGCAAGCCTTGCTTCCTCTCTTTTCATGTATAGCTCTTTTTAAAAAAGAGTTTGGAAAAGAATTTGAAAAAAATTTAGGTTTCCCCCCGAAACATGGTATTTCTTCAATTCTGCTTTTACGTCTTTTTAAATTAAAAAAAAATGTTTTTAAAAGAGCTTACATGTCTTCTCATTAAGATTATTTTTAGGATTATTATTATTATTATTATTATTATTATTTCACTACTCATTTATACAGAATCATTTTTCCCATTGTATTTTCCATTAACTCGTTATTTCGCATATATAGGTAACCTATAGATTTGTGTGTTTTTAACTTGTAATGACTCCCCTTACTGAACTGTTATTAGCTTTGGTAGTTTTTCTCTTGGGATTTATTTTTTGGTAGGATATAATATCTTCTGCAAATAATGATCATTTGATCTCCTGAATTAAAAAAAAAAAGGTCCTACTTCTGCTTCATGTTACTGACTAGAAATAGAAAGTGTACAATCACGATAGTGATAGAAGTCAAATTTGCCCTGTTTCTGACTTGGGCAGACAAGCCCCTGCAGTTTCCACAACGAACAGGATGTTGATCACAGATGTAAGTTCATGCCTTCCAGTTTGCTGAGCTATTTTTAAAAATTCACAAGAAGTATTACATTAAAAAAATATATCCTTAGAATCTCTATGGTTTTTGTTTTCCCCTGTGGCATATCGACGTGGACTAGTGTATACTTCCAAATATTAAATCATCATTGCATTCCAGGGATAAATACAGCATTAGTCATCTTGAATTATTCTTTTAATAGCTGCTGGATTTGATTTATTGTTTTTTTATTTGGGATTTTTGCATCTGTACTCATAAGATTGGTCTGTACCTGTATGTGTGTGTAGATATATGCGTATATGTGTATACACACACAGTATTATGTATATTATATAACATTATATATGTATTTGTATATTATCTTTGCCATGTTTCTCATAGAATTATGTTAGCCTTATAAAAGGAATTGGGAAGTTTTCTGTTCTTTCTATGTTCTAAAACAATCTGGAAGAACTCATCCATAAAACCAAGCTCATAACCTTTTATAGAGATAATTCTTCCTCAATGTTTTTGAATTTTTTTTTCACGGTTAATGGTCTGTTTAGAGAATATTCTTCTTGAGTCAATTTTGGTAACTTTTATCTTCCTAGAAAATTGTCTATTTCACCAAGACATTCCTAGTACTAAATAAACATAGCTCTTCCTCCTTTGAACTCTGGCCATGAGTTTACCCTGATTTCCCCTGGAGCAACTGAGGCATCCTAGACATTTCAAAAGATCGCAACTGATTACTGAAGGAGAACAACAGGGAAAAATGACACAGAGAGTTCCAGAAGCCGTGACTCTCACAGCATATCCTCCAAGTTCATAGTTTCTGATTTCCATCACCTGCCTTCTAGTGCTAAAGGGCTGGCAGTTTCTCAGGCACCTTGCCTGGGTTTTTCAGCTTCTAGTTCTAGGCCAACTCCAACCAGAAGATTCCATTTTAATACTGGAATGCCCTCCTAGACATGTTAACATTCTTGTGGCCAAGCTCACAGGTGCCAGAGGCATGGCTGAGCCTCAACTTGGCCCTCCTTCCTTCCTCTGAGGTCTTCAGTGTGAGGGCATCCCTCTGCCTACAGGTGAGAACAGCCCCTTCCACCTGGGGAAGGCTTTGTCCCAGCGCAGACCCATTCCTATCACCAGTCACTTCGTCACATAAGGAACACAGTGACAGGAATGCTGCCTCTTTCACAGCAAAGGAGAATGGAAATATATTTATAAAATCAACCAT